TACCGGAGCCAGATGCGTTAGCGGGGAGAGAAAGCGGAATAGACGTCGGAGTGGGGGTCACCGATACCGATAGTGGGGAGCTCGAACGAGACAAACAACTCGAGGCAGTCTCTCGGGGATGTTCGAGCGAACAACACGTAATAAGCCTCGCTCTTTCGTCGTCGCGCTAAGTCACCGCGGACGTCATACGAGTGCGATAATTGCGATTCGTCAACATTCATAACAACAGGGAACGCCCGCGGAACGCGTTAATTGTCGTCTTTACATTGACGAACGGCCTTTTTAGACCGAAATAACTTCGTGCGTCGTAGATAAACGGGACGTGTGTGCCTACGTATACGAGCGTCCGACATCTTGTGTGACTTGAACTTTTGTGAACAACCATCACTGGAAATCAATATTATTAAATAAATTAAACATCCTTTTCGTAAAAGATTTCGAAAATTTATTAAATTGGACTTACCTTCTACTTACCTGATCCATTGGCGTCGATCACTCGAAGTCCCTCGTTGATCCTGGATTCCGGTGGCAGCGACGGTCCTGATCGGCGACGGCGATGATCCAGCGGTGGCAGGAACCTGAAAAAAGAAGATTAATTAGTCTGATTAATAATTAGAGAGATCGTTCGATACTTACCTTCTCGGTAGTTCAAAGGTCAAACCGAGTGACGACCGTTGATTTCTAAGGACACGTAGCGTTGATTCGTGCCTCCAATAGTACCGTCCGGTTACAACCTCTCCAAACGCGCTCTATATGTTGAGTATGTGCACCTGTAAATTGAAAAAATATATTAAATTATAGTGCACATTAATAATATAATTACCTATTTATATACAATATTTTTAACATTTTTTACCACTTTCAAGATCGACAAAATTGTAGGAATGGTTTACTGTCAGATGTTGGAAGTCTTCATTGCTCAAGCAATTGTAAGACTTCCAACAGTCTGACATGATCGTGATTCCTGGCAGAATCCATTCCTTGATGCATGCCAGGAGTGTCTTTTCTGTTCGATCCTCGACTGGAACGATGAAAACCTTTTTTGAGTCTCGCTCGTACCCTCCAAAAATCCAATTACCCTTTAGAAGTCAGCCACGATAGTACTTGCGATGTCCAATTTTCGCCTCATCTATTTCAACTGTGCGTCCTGGGCCACCAAGCTTTGTACTATACTTATCTGCCCAGAACACACAGACCTGCAAGTAAAAAAATAATATTAAAATTATTTTTCGACATTAACTATTATACATTTTTCTTTACTATACAGTACAATTATTAACATAAATTAAGATATAATTACCTCTCGACAAAAATTGAACCAATCTGTAATCGTGGCTGACGTCACGCCAGTCTCATCCATTGTGATATCGTGACGTGGATGTCGAAGCATAAAAAAACATGCTACTATTTTGCAAATAGTAGCAATGTCTAAATGACTTTTATGGAACCAAGTACCAGTTTTCACACTTTTATAAAAATCGCACTGTTTGCAGACACGGTTTTTATGTATATTTTTTATGTACTATCGTCTTCTACATCGATATGTTAATGTATCTTTATCGATGTTTATATTGTCACCGCACTGACTACACTTAATTGTATTCGCTAATACGCCATGCTGAATCAAAAAATCTATTAATTCTATTTTATTATATGTTAGACGAGCAAATTCTAATAAGCCTAACATTGCACGTGCCTGCTACGTATAATTTTAGCGCGCTTTATTTGTTTTATTCTAGTTCTCATTTTGCATACTAGTTTCAAATTGGCGCACTTTTGCATGCGCGTGCGGCTACTGAACTGACTGAGCATGCGCATATGACCGCAGGGCACGTTCAGTGTTGCTACATGTCTTCGGTATGACAGGAATCATAACCTGATTCCTGTCAACTTTAATGACTAATATCTCGCGTCACGGGGCAGAGCGACATTTTTTTCTGCCAGATTCGTTTGTTTCGTACAAAAACGCGTCGATTAAGCCTAATTGCATTGATTTCTGTGCTGAAGTAGCTAAACTGAAGAATTACAGTAATACTTTATTAGAGCCACAGACTAATTTTACGCGACACTACAAGTGTCACACTTAATATTTTATACATCAGACAGCTTCTTTTTTTTAAATAATCATTTATACATAATTTGGATAGAATCAAGATTAGAAAACTTGTCTTTTTAATTTCATGTAATTAATAAAAATGTACACAAGTTTTGTGGCTCGTCACGTTTGTATACGTTTATCAGAGTGTAATTATTTTGATGTCATCTCGATACATTTCCAAGTCTACTCTCGAGTAGGAATATTTCTTTATTTATTTTTATAAATTATTCTGAAATATATGTAATATATGTCAAATATAATGTATTTTATCAACTATCACTGATTTACATATTCAACTCCATCATTGTCCGTTGATTTATTTCTCTTTTCCAAACTTTAAGTCGTCAGATTGCCGAAATGGTTCAACAGTTTTGTGCCAGTATCCAATGTACATTCGATACCGGAATGATAACAATAAAAATTTTTCAACGCTCAAACGAGTTATTGGGAGATGACTGAAAAGGCACGAGAAAAACGATACGTGTATGATTTGTACTTTGCGGAATATTCTTTGCGTCTCTTTTTTTTTACATAATCCATCATTACAAATTCATCGACATTGTAATATTGACTGGAGATTAACCGACAAATTCGTAAATTGTCTCCTCAAGATCCCAGAGAGTATAAATGAAGATTAAATTGACAAAAACCAGTCAGTTTTATCAAAAGCAATTGTTTGAAAAATTACATATATGTTATCTCCCTTCCCTTCGGGGGAGAGTTTCCATAGACTTTTGTATTATCCAATCAACATGGCATATTCCACATATATATTAATTCAAACACTTGGAATCAAATACCGTGCGCGCGCATCACACTACAATACATGTGTTTCTTTCAATCAATTTATTCAATTTTATATATACTTTTTTAAATGGGCAACATGTGGTTCATGTGTGAAAGTAGACAATTTTAATGATTAACCGCGCAATTTTTACAGGCATGGCACATTTTCTCCAGCACGTGGTTTTCGTGGAATCCGAAAGATATTCTCAAGTACTTAACAACCGTAACACATCTGGAATTAAATTATTAAATTTATCTTCTTGTACATTTCAATATCACAAAACGTTACATTTCTCTCATCTGTGTAGGAAAATGCAACTTGTCATTAAGCCAGTTCGCCTGGCTGGATTCGTTATTTGGAGGTATAAATTTTTTTTTACAATTTATATAACATAAATCATAATATACGTATGTATATAAACGTTATATATTTAAATTATGTGTAATGTGCATATACTATATGGAGTAGGTTGTTGGGAGTGAGCACGCTCCATTAACTGACAAGCTTGAAAACTGGACGACAAGACTTGCTAAGCTACCCCAGAATTGATGTGCTATATAGCAATCAAAAATACAAAACTGCCTTATCTTCCCAATCAAACAATTTAGTATATTTCATGTAGACAAGAGCTTGTGCGACAAAAAGAGTTTAACTTGCGCCCGTTACGCGACGCATCACCGATATTTTCTCACATGTGGAAGAATCGACATCGACCCTCACATCTAAAACGCTGCTGCTCACCTTGCATTATTTTCTCAGCACTAATCTTTTACATAACTTTATAAAACGGCATAATTTTTATCTAAAATTTGCAAGTACGCAAAACAATGTAGGTCATGGTGATTAAATTCGTACATGTGGTGGTCGTCACGTATAACAAAAAATATTAATTTTTTTTTGTTTTCGTACTTGAAAATTGTGGACAAGATTTTTGCCGTTTTATAAAGCCACGTAAAAGATTAGTGCTGAGAAAAAAAATTGGAAAAAAATCGCGATTAAGATCACGGCTTTAGAATCACTTTGCGGCGTGCTCACTTTGGACAACCTATTACTTTACATATAGTATATATATATACATAATTTAAATGTAATAATGTATATTGTTACCTTTTGTCCAAAGTTTGTTATTTTGTCCGTTTTTGGATCAAAACATTCGAGTAATTTACTTGGGATTTGGACCAGGTTCTGCGATTAATCTAGTTTAAAGAGAAAACAATTTTTATATATTTTACAAGAATCAGATTTTTGTTTATTAAATCAAAATTTGGAAATTTTTTTTTAAATTCAATAAAAATTAATTTATATAGAGTATATGGAGCAAAGGAGAATTCTCTTACATTCTTGATTTAAAATTGTAATAAAGATGTGTCTCAAATCGAAATTTTAAAGACTGCGTTAGCATTGAAAACTCAATAACAACTATTAATTCCCAACAACAACAAACAGCGATTGATAATTTTTCCTTCTTATTTATATTTAAGTGGCAGAATTCCCCCCTTCGCGAGTTTCTCACCATTTTTTTTGTCTTTATGTTTTGAAGAAGAAAAAAAAAGTTTTATCGTTACATGTAATTTTGTGCTCTGTGAGCCGCGGCCTGAAAACCATCTCTTCCAATAGAAATTGAATAATTAATCAATACTGATTCTTCAATCTTGATAAAGTATTATGCTTATAACAATAACAAAATCAATCAACAAAGATTATTGTTTACAGCAACCTAATAGTTTTGTTGGGCATATTTTAATCAAATTTTTGTGTTGCTACAACAAAATTTTGGTTCGTACAACAAGACATTTTTTCTAGTGTGCAGCCTGTTGCGCGATGCTTCTTTAGAGAAGTCGTAGAGGCGCTGCGAGTTCGGCGAGTCGGTAACAGCGATAGCAACAGGGACTCTCACACACACCTCTCGGAGACATCGGCACGATTGTACACGTGACGAGCAATAAAGTCTTTTCATACATTACACGAGATATTCCTTGCACCAGAAAGCACAACATGGTGGCAGCGTGGTAACGTGCGAACCCGTAACGAATAAAAGGGACAATCAAAGTCAAGTGCATAATCGCAAAGCAGCGAAGAAAGGTGCAAGATCCGTGTGAGAGTTAAGTCGACACGATGCCGGGCGGTGAAGGCGGCAGCTCACAGCCCTCGATATACATGGCGGCAGCCGTGCAATTACCTCCTCCGCCAAATTTCAGTTTCCGATCGGAGGATTGGCAGCGATGGTCCACGAGATGGGAACGATACCGACAAGGCAGTGGCATTGCAAATCAGTCAGAGGAGACGCAAGTTAATCAATTTGTATACTTAATGGGACCGCGTGCGGAAGACATTCTGTTATCATTTAAACTCAGTAATATAGAAGCAAAAAGCTATAAGATAGTACATAAAAAGTTTGAAGAACATTTCGGAGCTCGCGTAAATATAGTATTAGAACGAGCACGATTCAATAGGCGCACGCAACAAAACGAGGAAGCGGTAGAGGACTTTATCGCAGATCTCTATCGTTTAGCGGAAACATGTAATTTCGGTACATTAAAAGATGAACTTATTAGAGACCGAATTGTAGCAGGCATTCAGGACCAAAAGCTATCAGAAATATTGCAATGTGACCCTGAGCTCACGCTGGAGAAGGCTGTCATGAAAGTACGAACAAAAGAAGAGGTCAGAACACAACAGGCAGTCTTAAGAGGAACGGAGGTAGCAGCTAACCTCGACAGAGTCAGCAGTTCCCGCGGAACACGTGGCAAACAGTACGCGAAAGGCTTCCAGCGACAGCATAAGAAGGACGAGGCAACAACGGCGAAACGGTGCACCCGATGCGGCACGACACCGCAACATGCATTTTCCTCGTGCCCAGCCAGGCAATCAGCATGCAATATTTGTAAAAAGACAGGACATTGGGCGGCGATGTGCAGAAAGAAAGCGGTACATGAAGTGAATAAAAATGATAGTAAGAATGAAGCAGAAAAAGAAGACGATAAAGAAGATCTCTACTTGGGCGGCGTACAAGCAATAATAAAAGAAGAAAAAGAGGGACAAAGCAAAACACAGAATACCGAAGACAAGAAGCAACAAAGAAACATAGATAGAATAAGGACGAAGACAGCGCACTCCGAACCGCCATGGATGGCGCATGTAAGCATCAACGGAAAGGACGTATCAGTCAAGGTAGATACTGGAGCTGACGTGACGGTGATAAGTGAAGAACTCTATAGGCAGCATCTAGTCGGCATTGCATTGACAAACGCAGGTAAAGGACTGCAAGTGGGAGACTCAATACCTCTCAACGTGCTGGGTAAATTGCAGGCTAAAATAGAGTGGAGGAATAAAGCAGCTATTGACCACATATATGTCGTCAAGGAGAACATGCAGCCATTGTTAGGCCGTCCGGCCATTAGAGCGTTAGGCATGTTAGACTGGGTAATAGACATGGTCATTGCTGAAGTAAGTAACGACAAACCTGAAAGTGAATTCGGTAATGTATTTGAAGGGTTAGGATGTCTCAGAAAGTGCAAACCTTACCACATTTGTTTTAAACCAGATACCAAACCGTATGCAGTATCAGTACCTCGCAGAGTTCCACTGCATCTGATGCACAAGGTCAAAGAAGAGCTAGAGCGGTTGGAAGATTTGGGCGTGATCAGTCGAGTCGTCGAGCCGACGGAATGGTGCGCACCGATGGTTGCCGTGCTCAAGGCCAACAAGAAAGATGTGAGGATTTGCATAGACTACACTGAACTCAATAAATGCGTTGTAAGAAACCGTCACATCATGCCGAGTGTTGAAAAAAACCTTGCTCAACTAGGAGAAGCCCGCTGGTTTTCCCTTCTTGATGCGAACAAGGGATATCATCAGGTGCCTTTATGCAAATGTTGCCGACATGTAACTACTTTCATCACGCCATTTGGTCGCTACTGCAGTGATAGACTACCGATGGGTTTGTGTCCCAGCGCGGAGCACTTTCAAGAAAGTATGTCTACAGTATTGGATGGACTACAAAATGTGGTGAACCTATCGGATGACGTTCTTGTTCATGGAAGAACTCTTGAAGAACATGATAAATGTCTGCGTGCAGTATTGCAGCGTCTATCAGAGGCAGGTCTTACGTTAAACAAAGATAAGTGTGTCTTCAGACAAAAGCGCGTAAGATTCTTGGGATACATTGTATCAGCGGATGAAGGCGTGCAGCCCGATCCTGAGAAAGTGAAAGCTATAACCAGCATGAAGAGGCCAACCAACACTACGGAGGTGAAAAGGTTTTTGGGAATGGTCCATTTCCAGTTAAAGTTTATAGAACATCTTGCGGATATCACCAAACCACTGAGAGAACTGTTGAAGGATAGCGTCGAGTTTATGTGGGAATCACCACAGGAAAAGGCCTTCAAAGAGGTCAAGAAAAGATTGATCGAAGCCCCAGCGCTCGCTCTTTTTAACACAAATAAGAAGACAAGAATTTCGGCGGACTTTTCGTCATATGGATTAGGAGCAGTCCTGGAGCAATTCGATGAAGAAC